AACTTTAGGCTTGTATTTGCGTGCATTTCCTGTTCGGGAAGTGGCAATGTACTGAGAGTGGACTGGAGGTGTCCTGACATTAGTGCCTGCAGGCAGGCTCCATGGACCTGTCAGCTCCCGACTGCGCAAAATGCGTAGCCTACATGAAGCGCTACGCCATGAACGCAATAAATCTACCCTCGTGGGGGCGCGCTCATGTGATTGGCTTAGAATTGAGGAGACATCTGATTGGCTATAGATAGAAAAAATTACTAGTACGAATCGGCTGACCGTCAGGGGAGTCTCAAAAAACCCACACAAAAATGCACAGCGATCCGTGCACAGAAAGCGGTTTGTGTTTGCAGGTGCAGAGGTTTTAAACGGAAAAAGAATATGTGTAGATCAAAAATACATATGTAAAACTTTTTTCTGTATTTGGATTTTATTTACATGTATATGAAACGGAACACATTTCAGGGTTCGTACGGGTGCTTGAAATCCTTGAAAATGCTTGAAATTTGACGTGGTGTTTTCAAGGTTGGGAAAGTGCTTGAATTTTGGGAATGGTGCTTGAAATTGAGATAAAGTGCTTGAAAATGTAAATGCTTTACTTTTACAATAAATTGCTGTCTGACTGAATAGTTCGCTTTTTAGATTAAAAGAAAAGAATTGCTTCGCTTCTACATAAAACAGCGCCGCTGCACCTTCCCGCGCTATGCGCGCGACCTGCAAGTGTTTGTGTTATGTGTGACCTGGGCATTCTGATGAGAGTGATAGATGACTGTGTGCCAGGAGGTTGCCGTTTCAACGAGCGTTGGCTAGCAGAAGACAAATACAAGCCATGGCTAAAACGAGGGTCAAGCCCACGAGTAGCCTCCTGCAAAGTTTTGCAAACATAACGATGCGAGAGTCTGCGCTGACGAGCCACATGAAAGGTACGCCGTATTAGAGCATTTTAGATTAGGCTAATGTTGCATGTTATGTTTGTTTAAGCTAACGTTTGCTAGCTGAATAGCGAACTCGATTGAGGGATAATAATAATTGCAGGATAAACGAGCCGGTTTTTTGTTTTTTTTGCGGAGGGATCTAGATCGGCTTGAAGGCACATTATGCAATGTGCACATTATCCCGCTTATTACACGGCCACATTCTCAACAAAGTAAAGACATGACTCCCAATATTAATTGAAATGCTTTTATGGATTTAGAAAATGATTTTATTGATTTAAAAAATAGTTTTATGTATTGATTTAAATTGACATGTATCCGCTAAGAAAAGTAGTCCGTTGTTACTGTTTGAACTAACGTAGTAACGGCAGGAACTGCTTCGATAGTGTTTTTGAGGAGCTTTTTGATTACAGATTTGAAAACATCGTTGCTTGCTTTAAAAGTAGCACAATTCATTATGTCAAACCTTGGAAAGTATCTAGATATCCCTGCCCTAATGCCAAAGTAACTGGCAACTGAATATGTGTCGCCGTTTGATGTCTATGTCTGGACCGCTGCGTAAAAAGGAGGGTTTCTGCCCCATTACTTATCTTCTTACTTCTATAAGAATAAAACACGGAGGACAGAGATCTCTTTTTCTCCCCCTCTTCTGACAGCCCAGCAGCTGATCTCAGAGCACGCTCCCCTCTCCTGCAGGGGGGCGTGGTCAGCTGCAGCTCACAGAATCAGCCCCCTGCAAAAACAGCGCTGGAAAGAGCAAATAGAGCGAAATGAGGCATGGCTAAAATGCAGGATCTTTTGGTCTATATAGTCTTCTATATTTTTTTATATAAAAAAACTATATTTATATACTTTATATAGGTCGATACAGTAGCCCCTTTTCTTTTAAATAGTTTTTATAGGTGTTGCTATTTGTTTTGTGTAGCGTGGTTCTACAAGCAAGTCAATGCATTCATTGGGTGGTATCAGAGAGTTACACGGGTCTGTACTGTAAATGCAATGAAAACAATTGGCCACAGCAAATCATTTATATTAAACATGTCATTTTTACTTTTGAATACTTCAGTACAAAGGATGTATTGAATAATTTAAGTGATATATGTGTACACATATAAATCATTAGTCAAAACAGGGCTACATTTGATTTAATTAAAAGGTATAATATGTGGTAAACTGAAGAGCCGTTTGGGAGCAGAAAGAGCCGGCTCTTCTTGGTGAGCCGAGCCAAATGATCCGGCTCACCAAGAAGAGCCGGAATTCCCATCACTAGTGTTCAGAGGATGAAGCACTCACGGCATTTCGTGTTATAGTCACAAAATATAATCTATTGATTCGACACAGAGCGATTTTGAAAGCAATGTATTTCTACTGGTAGTATGTTTCGTACCTAAACCAAATGTAACTTGCTCTATCGAAATCAGTCACATTGACCCGAAGACACATTTTCGTTTGTATTACTGGTCTGGGGGAAGCTCGCGAGTGTGTGTGTATTTTTGCGTTTGTGTACCGGGGAAACATTCATAAGAAACACCGGCTGTTGTTATGCTTGCTGTGATGTTACATTAGTCCGTTCTCTGCTTGTAATTATGCCGTTACAAGCTTCAAAGTTGTATTTATCATCTGAATTTGCCGAAACAAGTTTAATATTCTGAAAGCCAATACTTTGTTTATTTGAAAACAGATGAAAACAAACTGTCTTTTATATAAAATTGAAGTATTATACAAGTAAAACTACATTTTGCTTTAATCCCATGTAATTGTAGAATGAACACAGTCTTCCTTTGAAGATGTATAAGTCAGGTGTCTTGAGTAGTCAAAATTACCTTGTGGATTTACTCCAGGTGGAACTAAAGTCTGATTTAACACTTGATTATATTTCACATCATTCATCCACATCTGTGAAGTAACTAAAGGTATTAAATACATGTAGTGGAGGAAAAGTACACCATTTACCTCTGACTTATGTTCACTTCCAACATAAAAGTACCTCAAAAATAGTAATCAATAATGTATTGAAAAGTTATTTGGCTGATTGTTTTATATTGGCTCAGACAGGTTATATGGGAGGCCCAGTCTACGTACAGGTCACTCCTTTTGAAATATTAAACTTAGTTTTCTTTTCTTTAATTTTTCATCCTCGTGTAGAATGCTATCACGAAACACACATTTGGTTGTTTATAGCATAAAGAACATCTGATTTAATGTGAGGTAGGGAAATAATCATTTGAGTATGTGTATATAAATATGTAATTTACAACAGCTGTAAGCTGCTTGAAAAGCTGGAAAATGCACCTTGAAAATGCTTGAAAAGTGCTTGAATTTGACTTTGGAAAAGGTGTAAGAACCCTGACATTTGTGTGTGCATTGAAAAACACAAGTGTGAATCCTTTTGCGGATCATGAAATACAAGTGTGAATCCTTCTGTGTGCATGTGTGTATTATGAGACTGTTCTGAGCCCATAGAGGGCTCCTTTCTTACCGCCCAGACGAGAGAGGGGAATGATACACGCTGCGGCCAGGCAGGGAACATGTGACTTATCAGTAACTAGACATCGTAAAACAATTTTAAACGAGATTTTATTGTAGATTATACATTTTACTGAAACCAACTATATATATATTTATTTTTTATTTGTAATGACAATCAAACATGTGGGAAGAGGGGGGGTGGCGCCCCTAGCGCCCTATATATTGGCCGGCCGCCACTGGCTATCGGGATGTTAAGAGCATTCCATTGAATATAACAAAAAGTGTTTCTGAAGTGAATGACCTACCCTACCTTTAAGTGAAGAGCAGTACGCCTGCAGCCACAGTTCCAATTTCGCAACAGGTGGGTATACGTTCAGCGCCTACGACGTAGACATCTGATATTCCCACAATATACTATGCCACCAGGTCCCTGGTTTTCCATGTGTCAGCTGTTTTGCGGTAGCGCCATTACCACATATTTGTTTCAAAATAGGCCACATACAGTCACAACTAGTCATCAAACGAACTATTCATCAAATGAATGATAGGTCCACACCATAGACATGTGTACACTAAAAGTATTTTGTGCAATTATTTCACCTGTCCACACTGGCAGTGAAGAGACCTACTTCTAATGTGATTTTAACTCATGAGATTGTCAAAAAAGTGAGTATCCTGTAACATAGCATGAAAACAGAATGACAAAAACTTTTTTTTTTCCGTTAAAAAAAGATCAACAAGTTAAGTGTTAAGTGTTTTATAATGACTAATCAATAGCCAATATACTGCTAATATGCATGTTAATTAACAACTAGTTGAGGGTGAATTTGTGTACCTTAATATAAAGTGTTACCACGTTTGTCTCAGTGGGCTTTACAGATTAAAAACAAACAACAACATTGTATATGATGGAGTTACAGCAAATGAGAAAACTAAATAAAATAAGATAGAAAAAAAGTCAATATAAATACATAAAACATTCAAATGAATTACCATAAAAATAAAATAAAATGAACACCATAAAATGCCAGCTCTAACTGAAGGCTTTGTTAAAAATGTAGGTCTTCAACGCACTCAGGTTTGGACTCTCTCTGCCTCTCTGATTAAAACAGGAAGTTGGTTGGTTCCAGAGAAAGGGAGCTTGGTAGCTGAACACTGACTCCTGATCTTGTTTTGCGGACTATGGGCACCATTAACAGACCTGCACCCTGGGAGCGTAATATTCTAGGGGGGCAATAGTGGATTAAAATACATTTTAGCTACGAAGGTGCCTGACCATTTAGCGCTTTGTAAGTTAAAATAAGTATTTTAAAATCAATGATGTGCTTTACTGGTAGCCAGTGTAGAGCTGCTAAAATTGGAGTGATGTGGTCCATTTCCCTGGCTTTAGTTAGTATACGGGCTGCAGCATTTTGTACCAGCTGAAGATTTGTAATGGATGTGGTGGGACAGCCTGATAGAAGGGAGTTGCAGTAATCCAGCCTAGAGGTTATAAAAGCATTAGTTTTTCTGCATCATTTTGAGTCAGGATATGTCTGATTGTTTTACAAGTTGATGATGTTGTTGTTAAAAAAGTTTGATAAGATCTCTATGTCTAATTTTCAGGACGAGCTGGAGTTTGGATACATCGACTCACCTCATCACCGGTTTCCTGTTGTTCTGGACTCTCCTCGTGATAGGGGTCTCAAGGATTTTCCATACGATGAGCTGCTGGTGAGACTCCTTTTTTTCTTGAAATAAAGTTTCAAGATTTTAACCAGATATTTTAATTCCCTTTCGGGGACAACCTTCAACACAAATGTTGAAAGCAGAGTATTTCCTCGAGTCTTGAAACATGTCTGAGCGGGAGCCTTAACCACCTTCATGTCCTCAGGGCCCCGACTTTGGCTATGTGACAAGGGTGGCCCAAAGAGAAGACGTGAGCAGTTTGGACTCATTCGGTAATCTGGAGGTTAGTCCTCCCGTTACCGTCAATGGGAAAAACTACCACCTGGGCAGAATCCTCATCGGAGTGGCTTTCCCTACGTACGTTTGTAACAGGGGAACACAAAACAAAGTGTGGCGAGGACTTGTCAACATTATTTAATTAATTTGTCTTTTTCTTCAAGGGCCACTAAAGGACGCAACATGACCAAAGTAGTCCAAGACTTCTTGTGGGCTCAGAAGGTTCAGGAGCCCGTTGCCTTATTCTCTGACTGGCTTGTAGTCGGCCACATAGATGAATTCATGAGTTTTGTTCCTGCACCTGACAGAAAGGTAAATGATCCCTTTTAAATAGAAACTTTAGTTATTTTGAACCAAAAGTTGCCTTCTTTGTGCTTTACCTTTACCACATTAGTGGTCATTTTAACCCAAACTACAAAGTTTATTTCTGTGAAGAAGCAAGTTTACTTTGAAAAAGCTGTTGTGCAACACGTGTCAATTTGCATGTCATTCATTTGAGAATGCACGAAAAATACGGAATAACTTTGCTTAAGATATGAAACACACTGTTTTATGAGGATACGTTGCATAGTTAGGAGACAGGAAGCTACTAGCTGTTACCAGTGGATACCGACATGCTTTTATGTGATGGATTGAATGAGCTCCCAGGACAATGGGGCAGCTGCTGTTATCTTTGTCTCTTGTGTTTCTGTGCACAGGGATTCAGGCTGCTGCTGGCCAGCCCGGACGCAGGCTACAAACTATTCAGAGGCTTACAGAGGGATGGACACGGGCAAGCCAAACTGTTCGAGGGTAGGCCTGTCTCAAACTAAATTGGAAAAAACAACTACACAATGAGTTCTTAGCAATGCACAGTCATCATGTTATCCTCCCCACTTCCAAAAAGGTCTGAAAGATGAAGAACAACAAACAGTGGATGAGATTCTGAAAGACAAAGGGCTCGCAGCTGAAAATAACTACGTGCAGGTGAGTGGGATTGTATAGTAAGACCAACATACAGCTTGCTTTGTCTACTTTTTGGTGCAGGGAATAAAATCCCCCGAAGATCTAACTGCAAAGTTATTGAAAAATTCTCACAAACATTTTATTACCTCTGCACTTTTTCATTAAAAGATATTTTCCTTCTCAAGACAACCGCCAGCCAGAAATTACACTCATAATGTAGACAACCTCATTCCACAACTATAGGTGTTAATATAGCACTACTGTATATCAGCTTCTACTCTGTGTAAACTCTGCATTATTTTAGATACAGACTGCAGGATTTGCTCCCATTCAGACAAATGAGCATTAGTGAAGGAAAGCATTGATGTTAGGGGATAACAATTGTCTCACTGTCAGTGTTTCTGTTTATTTAAAAAGTGTTGGATGTGGGTAAAGTCAGGGTGCTTTGACATCAATATTTTCCCGTTATCATGAAGTGATGATGATGATGACGCGACGTCATCAGCTCGCGCATCACAGAAGGTAAACAACACCGTAGAGTGAACGTGTGGAGCTCACACGAGAGAGAAAACACCAAGATGAAAAAATATAATCCATCTCATTTACCGACGAACATTTCTGCTAAAGACCGGGCAAAGCAGTACCCCGATGTCTTGCCCGAAAGTGGGGGTAAACTATTCTGCACCCCGTGCAACTGTGTTGGAGCATAAGAGCAGGGTTGCCAACTTTGGGTACCTGGCTGGAGTGAGATTTTGATATCATGGGTTTAATTACATATGCGCACGAAATGACTGCTATCGTGTCAGCAGCAGGACCTTAGCATAGCCTATATATAGGATATATAATATATACAAATACACAATATTGGACAGACTATAAAAGGCACAAAGTTTCATTCACTATTGAAAGTCAAACACATGTTTGTTTCCACTGTTTTATTGTGTGCCTGTCGCGATAAGCAATTAATTGACGTATCGTACGATAAATAAAAATGAACTCGATAAATTGCCATTTACATGAGGATGTGACTAGCAGTTTGAAAGGATGTACTTGAATGATTATTATATATTATCGTTATGTCAGTGGTCTAAAATGGTCATACAACGGTGCCGACAATATTATCGTTTATCGCAATAATTTCCGGGAAAATGTATCCAACAAAATTAATTATCGTGAGAGCTATACATGAAACACACACACAAACAAATCTACACTTACTCCAAACTGCCAAATATATTAATTAACACACTCTCACTCTCATATAGCCTACTCTTTGACTCTATTTTGGCCTAGTAGAACAATAAGCAGCAGACTTTTACTTTTTTATCATTTCTACTGGTTCTTAGATCTGAGCATGTGTGACACTTGGGTCCTGCTTTGCTGTTGCTTTTTGTACTTCACCGGAGTCAGTTTGAGATATCAATTAGTTTATTCTGCAAACCATGGAATAAACACACAGATCCACAGTTTAGCCACAGTTCAGTGAGATGTTGCTCCAAGCTAAGAATCCTCTAATACTTTTACAGTGATCGTATAGTGGTATCATTTGTTTAGAGAAAAAGGATTCTAAATATAAAGAAACTCAATAACATTTATTACAAACATAAAACTATTTAGTTTGTAATTGTGACAATAAAGATTCATCAAATTACTTAGATGAACAGTATTCAATAAAACATTTACCAGTTCAAAATAAACATACCTGCAAACCATGGAATAAACACACAGATCCACAGTTTAGCCACAGTTCAGTGAGATGTTGCTCTACAAAGGAAAGTTTCACGTCAGTAACGTAAATGCCACGTGCACTCCTCCACAACGTTAGTGGCTAACTAGTTAGCGGCTAACTAGTTCGCTGGAAAACGGCTCACTCTCAGTTTATGTACAATTCTTTTAAAAAGTGATACACTACAGAATCTAAAGACATTTAGCTAACCAATAAATGCACATAGATTATACACAAAATAGTACACGTAGATCACAATTATTATTATATCTACAACTGAGTGAACAGAGCAACAACTCACCCAAGCTAAGAATCCTCTAATACTGACGGATTCCGAAAATGCACCACATTCAGCGCAACACTAGCTTCCGGTTGCGGCTTTTCAAAAATAAAAATAAAAATAACAAAATTATGGCTGTAGTCCCAGTTTAACAGGATTTAATAAAACAAACATTCATTATTTACACTGTTACATACACCCCCCTTAAATTCTGTTAAACTCCAGGCAAATACTGAACATCATCAAGACAAGAGGGTAAGAAAAATAAAAAAATATTTGTGGTGGCTGTTTAAGGTGAAACCAAATCAAAGACACAAATTACAGTCGATACAAAATCCTCCCATAGGGAGTGAAAAAGGATAGGGAGGTACCAGGCCCAATACCTTTCTCAGACCAGCAGAAGATGCCATTTACACCTTCAAAGCATCTCATCTAAGGCAACACACATAGCATACCCACAAATCTACAAACGCATACAAATACTACTCGGATATAACCCATAAAAAAAAACTGGTAGAGTATCCTGACTGCTTAAACCTCAAATATCTTGTGGAAGAATGCAAAAACTGAACTAGTAACAGATGAGGTATCTTCAACCTTCTGTGCTGCCATCTCATATATCAACTTTTTAGGAGGTTTGACATGCCTCCCACATCTAGTAGTGACTGAATCACCACAGCCCACATGAACACTATGGGGTTGCGTGCAAATAGCATTGGTTTCATCAACAACTTCTGTGAAAGTTAAACGAGAAACACCAACTGAGTCAGGGTCAGTCAAGTCAGCAGCACTCACAGGGTCTGGGTCAGGTGGTAGAGTCACACTGTCAGGGTCTGGGTCGGTTGGTAGAGTCACACTGTCAGGGTCTGAGTCAGATGAGTGAGCATCACTGGCAGGGACTGGGTCGGGTGAGTGAGCATCACTGGTAGTGCTGTGTACCTGCACTCACATTCAGGTTCAGGTCCGGACTCAAGTCCAGAGGTTCAGGTTCAGGTCCGGACTTATAAGTCCGGACCTGAACCCATGGCTTGTGTCAAGTTGTGTGAGTAACTAAAGTGAACTTATTGTGAGCTAATTATCAATTGAAAATTAACTCATAATCAACTCAAATTCAAACTCATCAGGTTTATTGTGCTCCCTTCCAACTTGTGTCTAAATTTCTCTACAAAGTACAAATGTAAAAAAAACACTTTTTGCCACTTAGTCTACAAATGACTTATGACAGCAACTACAGTGAACTACTACAAAGTTCAAACATTTATTTCATTTACCAAACTAAAGTAACCAAACAGTCCCTGAGCTGACTGAGCCTAAATCCCTAAAACGTTGCTGAAAGATAGAGTGTAGAGTAGACTATACGCATTACACTGTTACACACCTACTATACAGTATAGGCTACAATAGTGACTGTACAGTCAGAGTGTACTGTACAGTCTGTACACCATGTATTTTCTACAACTCTACATGTGTACATTATACAGTACATACTACATACATAGTGATGTACATACATACTGTTAGAAATTCAAATCAATGTTGATATGGCGTAATTTTGAATTAAATACACTATTTAATTTAAATCAGTTTTATTCTGAAAAAACCGGAAGTTCACACTATTAACTTAATACTTTTATTCAGAAAATGATTCACTTCCGGTTAGCATTAGCATGTGGCGAAATGCTACGTTTTCAAACCGTGAATCGAAGGTGAAATGACATGTGATGTTGTACACTGAGCACACTGGGATTAGCACTCATTTATTGACGCTGAATAACGTTTATCAGGGAATGTTTAAATAACCACAGACACCAGAATATACGTAAATGCTAGTTTTTTTGAGAGTCCAAGTACCGGTTCCCGACGTTCCGGTTTTAACCGGACTTGAACCGAAACTTTTTACAAGTCCAGTACCGGTTCGGCGTACCGGTACGCAGCACTAATCACTGGCAGGGACTGGGTCAGGTAAGTGAGCATGACTGGGTCAGGTGAGTTCATGAGCCAGTCCACAGTGCGATCGTAGCCATCTTCATTGTCCACATGCACAGAGACTTGACCACTTCCACATTCCTCATCCCCATTATCTGAGTTGACAAACGAGGCAGGAGTTTCAACCTTGTCCATGAAAAGAAAGTCAACCGGGAGAAGCAGGTTCCGATGCACAACTCTCTCTTTTCCAGATTGGGCATCTCTTATCCTGTACACGTTAATCCCAGCCCTCACCGACACAACATCATAGGGCGTAGAAACCCACTTGTCAGCAAGCTTTCTTTTGCCCCTCTCACCACGGTTGGCCAACAAAACTCGATCACCCACAGCCAGCGGAGAACCCTTGACTTTGTGGTTGTAAAGCCGAGCATGACGGGCTTGCTCCTTAAAGCTGTGATTTTGAGCAATCCTTGCAGCTTCACACAAGTCCTGTCTTAACTGAGAGACAAACTCATTATGGCTGACCACTCTTTCATCCTGAAGCCCATGCTGGAACACAATGTCAATAGGGAGACGTGGCACCTGGCCAAACATGAGGTAAAAAGGGGCAAAGCCAGTTGTCTCATGTACTGTGCAGTTGTAGCAAAATGTCAGCGTCTGTAACACCCGGGGCCACCTGGCTTTCATTGTTGGGGGAAGGGTTCTCAACATATTCCCCAGCGTCCTGTTAAAGCGTTCTGTCACGCCATTACCCATGGGGTGGTAAGGTGTGGTGTGTGACTTTTGCACCCCCTCCACTTCCAAAAGTTCCTTAATTAGTCTGCTCTCAAAGTTGGCACCCTGATCTGAATGGATTCTCTTGGGAAAGCCGTATACACAGAAGAAATCATTCCATAACCGGCAAGCAACATGTTTTGCAGACTGACTCCGACAGGGACATGTGCCATTTTTGAGAAATGGTCAGTGACAACCAATACATCAACTGTCTTCTTGTCACCAAGTTCAGCTGTCCAAAAGTCAATGCACACCAGTTCCATAGGTTCGGATGTCTGAATGCTTTCCAGAGGCGCCCGGGCTTCGGGTTCAAGT